CCTAGCCTATTAAAAAATTCCAAGGAGATCAAAGTTAGGTGGGTTTCTAGGCATGAAAATATGCAGCATTCCAGAATTGACTGGATCCCCTCCTTTTCCATACCCCCCTCAATCTGTGTCAAGCATGTCTGGGATCATCTAAAAGGTTCCCAAAATATTTGGAGTTTAACTCTGTGCAGCAATGTGAGGGGGAGAATGCCAGGGATTCAGCACTCAGGTTAAAGCCACACAGGAGGCCAGATTCCAGGCTGTGGTAACACCACACCTGCCCGAGCCAGCCTTTCAAAGCACAGAAGCACCGTGCAAGTTCTGTTTGCTGCAGCTTGTGGCAGAACGGGAATAAGCCTGTGCAAAGCAATACATGATGGAGGAATGTGCCAGATTAGGGGTCATGAACTATCTGCTCTGCTTCTTTTTTTTTTTACCATTTGGCTGTGTGATCTCGGACAGGTTACTTGCTCTCTCTGAGATCTGCTTACTCATCTGTAGAATGAAGGCCCTTCAGTGATGATGCCAGCACCATTTATACCTAATTTGTGTCAGGCACCATGCTGGGCACATAAATTCTGTCTAACCCTCAGACACTGCACAGGTAGTAGTATTACCTCTGCATCAAAGGTGAGAAGATGCGCTCAGAGAAGTTAAGTAACTTGCCCAGGGTCATACAGAGCTGGGCAGCTGGGGCTCAGATACCAACGCTGGTTCCTGAAGGGGTCTTCAGGGCCTGCCAGACCCTCACTCACCTCCAAGACAGGCCTCGATATTCAGTGACGATTTCAGGGAGATCCCTGGCCTCAGCGCCATTTGCTGCCTGGGAGGGAACGACAAGGGGGTGAGTTTCCCTGCTCTTCCCCATGGCCCACCTCTGCCACCTGCTGGAGGTCCACGTTCTTATCCTGGCCAGACCACCTGGGTGCGCTCCAGACTCTAGAGTCCAGGTGGTGCCACCTCTCCCTGTGCATCCAGCCTGTTCAAAGATGCGTGAGAGTGAGAGCTCCCGCTGGGAATGCCTAGTGCCTCCAAGCTCTGCTTCAGTCTAAGAAATGCTGCCCCCACCCCTGCTCTGACCCAGATCGAGTAAAACCAGTCTAGCAAAAGTGCTCTGGAAATTAGACTGTGGTGTACATTTTCCAAAAGCACACGTTTCAGGGTACTATTTTTCTCATTTTTTAAAGTTGTGAAATAGATCCTAAAAGGAAACATATCATAATCCTTTCTTATCAATATATTTCAGATAAGTATGTACAATTAAAAAAAAATAGTAATAAAATGAAATCCCATAGACCTACCACTCAGCTGAAGAAAGGGTGGGGTCTTTCAAAACCACAATTTGGATGCACTCCACAGGTGCGTGTCCCTTGCCTAAAGAATGTTATTGCTGAGCACAGCTATTCCAAAAGTCAGACTTTAGATTGGCCCCCCAGGCAGCCAGGGATGAAGGCTGACCTCCACAAGATGCCCCCCAGGGTGTGGTCCCTACTCTCTGCTGCACCGTTTCTTTGCTATCTGCCAGGAATGTCACACCCAAAGTGCTGCCTTCCCAGGAAGTCCTGAGCAGCTGTGCTGATTCTTGATGACTCTTTATCCTGAAAGCATCTTCAGGGAGACCAGGGGGTTGCAGGGAGGTGATAACAGGCTCCACTGGGCAGGAAGCTGTTGGGGTAACAGCGCATGAAGGAGCTAAGGGCCAACCTGCCTGTCTTTCCTGGAAGGTTCTGAGCAGTAGGGCCTTTGAGGTGAAGAGCCCCTGAGGGGTCATGGACAAGGCTGCTATAGTTCAGAGACAGGCTCCCAGACATAGGGTCAGGATTCCTGAGTTCTCCAGCACTTACAAGCTGCATGGCCTTGGGCACCCACTTCACCTCGCCCAGCTTCACTTTATTGGTTGGATTTAAGGAAAACCAGATTTCACTGGATTTTGCTGTGAGGATGTTGAGTGAGATAATGTCACTGAGATAGGCCACAGACATCAAAGGTGTCATCTGGTCCTTGAGAGGATTCAGCTGGAGACCCTGCATTCTCTTGATCCAGGGAGCTGCAGCTGGACTCTATAATGAGCGGCCGATGAGTGGAAGCTCGTGTCTGGGACCTCTGGGACCCTCCAGCCAGGTTCTCTAAGGGCCTGATT